ATCCACGCCACTAGATTGTAGCTCCTCAACCATCCATCTCCCTTGAGAATCATCAGCGACCTTTGTGAAGATAGAATATATGTAAATCTACTTGTTCTTTTTCTTGTGATGATATTTAAAACAATTGAAAAACGAATAGATTCAAGAACACAAAATCCCCAAAACCCAAATATTAACGCAAAATTGTACTACCTTAGCTAAGATTCTAGAAGGCAAACCCAAACGAGCAACGCATGTTAAAGCATTCCCAGTATTTCCACCTCCTTGAACCTGAAAAAAATAAAAATGGCCATAGAAAATGTAAATTTCTGACATTGAAAAAGTAACGAATCAAATAAAGTCAACGAAGCGATAATAAACAACAAGAGACATAATATAGTATCTTCGTCGACCTTAAAACTTGTGCCTCGGATCTTTTGGTCGGGAATTGGGAAAGACGGCACTGTGACTAAGTAATCCAAACAGAGTTGACCACATCCAAGCTGCCATTGCAGCGAATCTTAATCAGTAGTATTATTCAATTCACAAGAAGTATGATAAGAAAAGAGAGACACAGATACGCACGACGGTCTGGTGACTCGGAATTGCTTCGTCCAAGGAAGATGACATTTCGGAGCTCCGTATACGCAAAGATCAATATTCTTCTCCGGAGAGATTGAATGTTTCTATTTATAGGAGGCCAAGACTTTAAATGTTTAATTTGAACCGGATTTAGTCAAACCGGGAGTTGTTGAAAGCCAATACTTTTTTTGGTATATTGGTTTCATGGAAGGTTACTTAAATGGAATAATAGGATAGAAAAGACTATATAACCAGAAAAGACCAAACATCAACATTAATATTATATATCAAGTGTAAAAAGTGTAGAAAATAAACCCACAGGGATTCGATTAATATATGAGAACCTTATTTTCTCTGTCATTAGTTGAGAATAGGGATAAAAGACTCCATATTATACTCCATATAATAAGACCAGTGACCCATAAGATTCTATACATTACAAGACGAAAGACCCATGACAATTTTCTATTTCAAATAGTTTAGATGCTTTTTCGTTTACAGTTGTTTATTGAAACTTCCATTGTCTTTCTCCTATGTTTGTGTGTGAGACAGTGAGAGTTTTAGGTAACAAGTTAACAACCACCTTTCTAAAACCAGAGTTTCCTATTAAGAGCTAAGAAAATACTGTCAAAATGAATAAAATGTCAAACGACTTTTTGTTTTTCATTTATTTTGATTTTTATCAATAGTATACTGTAAACGTCAGTTTAGCCCATATTCCCTCCGTTTCATAATAAATGTCATTTGGAGAAAATGTATCTAGACAATAATTAGATGTATCTGGACAATAATAAGTGTTATTTTGAGTTTAATACATCCAAATACATTGAATTATCTTTTTGCTTAAATGACACTTGTTATAAAACTGAGGGAGTATAAAATTAATACAAATTAAACGAGGTTCTTCTTCATTTGAAGAACATACAAAGCATTCTTTAAGGGGCGAAAACAAGCTTATAAGTGTAATGCGAGTAATTTATAGTTCAAAACCATATAGTCATTTTCCAGTCAAGGAGAGTGAAAAGTGAAATTGCTTAGTTCTGATGTAATTAATATATTGTAACACACCAAAAAGATTATAAATGTAGTGCGAGTAATTTGAAGTTCAAAACCATTACTAATGAGTAATGACACCATCATCATTTCCAGTATAAGGAGAGTGAAAAGCGAAATTGCTTAATTCTGATGTAATACAACGAAACACACCAAAAATATATAAAAAATGAAACCAAAGAAATAGGGAAAATCTCATTTTTAATTGTAAAAGTAAAAATGATTAGCACTTTAAAGCTCTAGAGAATTTCACTCTTACTCTTCATAGGTCATCAAACCAACGAAACTTGCACTCCATACAAAAGAAGTTAAAAGAGAGAGGTAGTTCCTCAATAAAACTGCGAGAGTTAAATAAAATGTCATACAAAATAAATGTTTGAAAATACTTCCTTGTAAACAAATATTGTTTTTTTGATAAACAAATATTCCTTGTTTTCCTTTGATGTTTCTTATGCTTATAGCGTAGGAAAATGATACAGATAATTGTGTGCACCGCATATTGAAAGAGAACCTTGTGTCTGCCAAACATTCTCAAAGTTAAGACCTTTTCATCGACATTCTCGTAGAATTTTCTTCTAAGCACTCAGTCTCAATATATATAGGTTTATATGTTACAACGATTTATACGCAAGAGAAATAATAGAAAAAATAACAAGTTTTTTATATTATAAATACTTTTTGCAATAGCAACCATTTTAGAAGACTTTCAATGGATCACACATTTTTATAGTGTTCGGGTTTACATTTTGTCAACAATGTATTTTTATGAACTTGTCATGGGTATTCGATGAAGGCTGTTCATTACAAAACGTGACTGAACATGAGTAAAAGTTCCACTTGAGTCTTGAGACAATCGGTCGAAAACCGTAGGATATCCAAAACGTTGGACCAACACTGTTCTCGTTTTAATTAAGAAGACATTGGGTCGAAAAACCGACCAGCTGATCATATGTTTTTGTCAATTGAAGATAAAAAGCAATCTATGAAATACATTACTTTCCTTAATAATAAAATATTTTAAAAGAAATCAGAGAGTTTTACAAAAGATTTTGGAGATTTTATTTGTTGCAATTTTGTTAAAATAAAGATCAAAATAATAAAAATATACTATTGTATGACTTAACTATATCGCCTTAACGATAGGGATTAGGCTAGGGGCTTAATAAACACTTTGGTTTTCGACCTCTCTTCGCCCAAAAGATCAATAACAGAGTCGCCGAAAAAAACTGAAATCCAGAACGAAAAAAGGAATCCGTTTGGATTCTTCTACTTCTTCTTCTTCTCACTTGAGCTTCTTTTGGTATTTCTCATCTTCTACTTCTACCAAATCCCGAAAAAATTGAATCTCTCAGCCATTTCTCTTCTCGCACCTTTGTTTTCCTGCTTGGAGGTGTAGACGAACACCGTTTTCGATTCCAATTTTTTCATTCGTTGATAACCCTTTTTCGTGACTGGTTTTTTTCGATGTTTTAGCTACTGGCTAGTCATTTCCGTTGCAATTTCTTCGTGTCTTCTATCTCTCCTGTCAGAGTATTGATTCAGAAATTCGAATTCACATAAAGGAAACTTGGAAATCAAATCTGAAATCCTTGGCAGCTTTTAATTTTGGGATTGAATACTGCTTTGTTTTGTTTTTTTCGTTTTGGGTGAGTGAGATTTGCTTCGGAGTTTTGGGAAATTATTAATTGAACTTTCTGGGTTTTAATTTCTGATTCGGTGAAGTTTTGAAGAATTTTGTAATTCGTGGTGAAGAAAGTCAAATTCCAGCGGGAAAAATTTATACTTTCCCATTTGACATTTCAACTACTGAATGTGGAAGAAAGCTGACATTACCTTCTGCTTGAGAATCTTAGAAAGTCATCATCATCATCATCAAGACGTAAGAGAGAATTTGCTTTTAGCTTTAGAGTGGTCCATATGGAGAACAATTTTGAGGTTTTAGGTACTAAAGGTTTGCTGAAGAAACATGAATTTGTTAGGATTCTGGTCCAATGCTTATACTCCTTAGGTTACAAGAAATCTGCATCTTGTCTAGAATTGGAATCAAGCATCTCGTATAAATCCTCAGACTTTGATTTTCTTGAAATTCAAGTTCTGAGTGGCAATTGGGATAGTTGCCTTGCGATTCTCGATAGGATTTTTAATAATCCGAATGATGAGACGAGGAACACTGCTTTGTATCTTGTCTTCAAGCAGTACATGTTTGAGTATTTGAAACGAGGGGATACTAGTTTAGCCTTAAATGTGCTGCAGAAGCAAGCTCCGATGTTACGGGTGGGGAAAGAGAAGATTCACAGGCTTGCTTGTGATATTGTTACTTCGAAAGAGATGGAGTCTGGTGAAGTAGACAGCTTTTTGGTTCAGGATTTGAGGAAAAGTTTGTTGGTTGAGCTGGAGAAGTTGATTCCTTCGCCAGTTGTTATACCTGACAAAAGGTTGGAACATTTGGTTGAGGCTGCTGTGATGGATCAGATTGATACGTGCCTGTATCATAACTCATGGGATGCTGTGTCACTCTACAAGGATCACCGTTGCGGTAGAGATCAAATTCCTTCAGAATCAGTCCAGGTTTGTTCTTTAGTAACCACTACGTTGTTTTCATTTTGATATTGAGACTTACTATATGGAACAACATTGTCTATGGCATATTTGGTGGTAATATACGCTAGAGAGTCATGTCTTCTGGACTTTTGCAACTGGTTCTTATAGTTTCTCAAACTCTTATTGTTGTGTTGCAGGTTTTGATGGCTCACAAAAATGAAGTGTGGTTTGTGCAGTTCTCTAATAGTGGCAAATATTTGGCCACTGCATCAAGCGATTGTACAGCTATTATATGGAAGGTAAGGATCGTATACCAGTGGTTTCTCTTATTTTTGCATAATGTCACTGAGAAAGAGACCAAATGAATTAGCTCTGATGGGTAAGAGACCCTTACTAGGTTTCTTCTTGTGTATATCTCTTCACGCAGTGAGGTGGGAAAATATAAAAGGATATAACATTTGGATGTCTTGGCTTGAAGCTTGTTATATATAAGGTAGAAAGTAAATTTATGACAGCAAATAAGGACATTTAGAAGTTAGAACCATGTAACTAGGTCTTACTACTTCAGGGTTGATAAATATTTTGCGTATGTCTTTAGGTTTTCTGTGATATTGTAGACTGTGTCTTTGAGGACTAAAGATGGTTATTTCTGGTTTTGTGACATTTGGTATTTCAACTTATTTTTTTGTTTTGTTTTAGGTTTTGGATGACAACAGAATCGAGCTGATGCACACGCTTCAGAGCCACCAAAACCCGGTTTCATTCGTTTCGTGGAGCCCAGACGATACTAAGCTGCTTACATGCGGAAACGCTGAGGTTCTTAAGCTATGGGATGTTGACACAGGTGTGTTGAGACACACGTTTGGAAACAGCGATAGCGGATTCACGGTCAGCTCTTGCGCATGGTTCCCTGACTCAACTCGGCTTGTCTGTGGCAGTTCTGACCCGGAGAGAGGGATTGTAATGTTGGATACTGATGGGAACGAGCTCAAAGCCTGGAGAGGAACGAGAATCCCAAAGGTTAGTAGTAGCATATGTCAAAAGAAGATTTTCTTATAGGTTCCTTGTTTTAGTATTCAAACTCAAAATGTGATTTGCCAATAGGTAGTGGATTTGGCTGTGACGCCAGATGGGGAGAGTATGGTCACAGTGTTTTCGGATAAAGAGATCAGGATCTTGAATTTGGAGACGAAACTGGAACGTGTGATCTCTGAGGAACAGCCGATTACTTCCCTTTCGGTTTCCGGTGATGGTAAGTTCTTTATAGTGAACTTGAGCAGCCAAGAGATTCATCTTTGGGATCTCGCTGGAGAGTGGAAACAACCTTTGAAGTTCTCGGGTCACAAGCAGAGCAAATACGTGATACGGTCATGTTTTGGTGGGTTAGATAGTTCTTTCATCGCCAGTGGAAGCGAGGATTCACAGGTAAAAAGGCAAATATCTACGAGACCGACGCAGCTTCTTTTTGTTTTTGTTTTCACTGAGATTTGATATGTTTTTGGTCACAGGTTTATATATGGAATCTGAAGAACGCTAAGCCGCTTGAAGTGTTGTCAGGTCACTCAATGACTGTGAATTGTGTGAGCTGGAACCCGAGAAATCCTCGGATGCTGGCCTCTGCGAGTGATGACCAGACCATTCGTATTTGGGGACCGGGTCAACCGAATAAGCCGGAGAACCGGTTAGATAACCAGAGACTGCTTTTTTTTTGAAGCGGGGACTTATAGTTCAACGCATTTGTGTATAGTTGTTTCTTTTATTCGATTTGCAGAACAGTTTTCTTGCATAATTTGAGTTTTGGTACGCTGTGGTTTTGCAGAACCGGATTTGAGATATGACCAGTGTCAGTCCATAAAACTATCATACATTACATATGAGTAATGACCAATCTTATAACTTAAGTTTATCAGTAAGGGCCGTATGATCAATCTTAAAAATTAGGTTTAGATATTATAGAAAACTGTGGAAATAATTTCGAAATTAAGAAAATAATTAGGGGTATTATGAAAAGATAAAAGTAGTTTTAGATAAAATCTGGAAAAGATTAGCCACTGGGATTGCATTGAAACAATAAAGACTTGCTTCAATTAGAAAAAAAGCAAAAGAGAAATCCTTTTAACAAACATCTAACAGAGAGATACGGTCCTGAAAACAAACAACTGAATTGTTGTTCCCCTTTAGGTTTCGTCCGACGCGCTCATCAAGAAAGTCCCCTAAACCGAAAAAAAAAAACAACCAAATCCATATCTCGCGGGACAGAGCCGCCGGAGACAGAAGCAAGGGGACGATTAGATTAGATCGGATGATTAGATCGCTTGATTAGGGTTTACTCCTCTTGTTCTTGGCCGCATCTACGGATTCGCCGGCGTTCTTTTTTTTTTTGAGTAAATTTTATATGAATTTTGGCTTTCAAGATGACTCAACCTGTCTGCTCTTCGCAAGATCAATCTTCTCCTCGTTCTTTGATCCCGCCGCGCAAATCCGTGGCGAATTTCCACCGCCGCAGGTTACAGATGCTCTTTCTTGCTTCTGTCTTTTTTTTTTTTTATTGCGTTTAGATCACTGGAAATTATGGGTGCTTATTTGCAAGAAACACTGATTCTTTTTATGTTCTTGAAAACCGATCTGGAAATCTTGTGATGCTATATAGTAAGTTTTTTACTGGCAGCTCAAAAAAGATAATGTCATTTGAGTAGTTTTGGTAGGAACTGGATCTTGAACTAGAGTTAGATTCCTCAAAATCTTGATTTGGAAATTTTGTTGTTTAGGGGGAGGAGCGTATTTAATTTGCTGGTCCAGAGAGAAATGTCACCGAAAGCAAAGTTCGTGCCAAGGAAACGGTGGGGTAAAAGTAGATGGTATACTGATCCCTCATGCAAATCCGACATCGAACCTATGAAAGACGCTGGACAGAGTCTTGTTTCATGGTACCCTTTTGTTCCTTGATGTGTCTTGTACCTTGTCTGTTTGAGATTAACAAGTTGTAATTGATGTTTTTCTTTGATGAACGTTGAAGGGTTGAGGCAGAGTCATTGAATTATTTATCTTCTAAGTATTGCGCTCTTGGACCTCCTCCAAGGTCAACTATTGCAGCGGCTTTTAGTTCTGATGGAAAAACTATTGCTTCTACACAGTGAGTATCATCATAGGGCTTATCTTTTTTCATTCTTTGCATTTTTTTCCTTCTTTGAAGTTCACCATGTTTCTTGTTCTTCTTGTAGTGGTGACCATACTGTAAAGATTATTGATTGTGAAACTGGAAACTGCTTAAAGGTTTTGAGTGGCCATCGGAGAACGCCGTGGGTGGTGAGTTAGAGAATGTTTCTGTTAACTGTAGATCAGATGATAACCTTAGGTTTTGTATCCAACTGCTCTTATCTAATGTTATTTGAGTTTATACAGGTCAGATTCCACCCACAACATTCAGATATAGTTGCTAGTGGAAGTTTAGATCAGGATGTTCGCTTATGGAATACTACGACTTCACAGTGTATCACATCTTATGAATTCTGTAAGTCCTACGAATCTGAACATTGTCTTTCTCTTATCATAATTGTGCCGGTTTTAATCTCTTCTTCTTCTTCTTCTCTTACAAGATCGGCCTATTGCTTCCATCGCTTTCCACGCTGAGGGAGAACTACTTGCTGTTGCTTCTGGCCATAAGGTATTTTCTTTTGCCTCTCCCATGAAAGGCTAGCATCTCTTTTCAGAAAGATCTCAAAAACTTCCATTTCTTTATATCTTTGCAGCTGCACATGTGGCATTACAATAGGAGAGGAGGGGAATCACCACCAGTCGTTGTATTGAAGACGAGGCGCTCTCTGAGAGCTGTACACTTTCACCCTCACGGAGCTCCATTTCTCTTGACTGCAGAGGTGAGCTACCTCATTAGGATTCGTTCAAATGTTTTTGTTTGTGCCATTCTTTCTACTTACATTGTCTAATCTTTTAAGTGGCAGGTGAATGAGATGGATACATTAGATTCCTCAATGTCTAGAGCAACCTCTATGGGTTACTTGAGGTATCCTCCCCCTTCTATCTTCTTTACAAGCCCGGAAAGCAACCGAGCTACACCTTCTGCAGAGGATCCAAGAATTGGTCAAGTCTCTAATACGAGACCGCAATCACGGCTTCAGAACATTCTTAGGTCTGCAGTAAACGCCAACAGAACATTGTTTCCTCCTTCTGGTCCCAATAGTGTTCGTCCAAGAAACTCTCCCAGCAACACATTTGTTACTCGAACTGGAGACACAACTTCTCCTGCAGCTGATGCCATGAATGTAGATTTACCTGAGCTCCGACAGACCCAGCAGTTGTTCCAGTTAAGCGACCGAGTTTCCTGGGAGTTACCATTTCTACAAGGATGGTTGATGGCTCAAGCGCAAGGTCATGGAGTGGTGGCTCCTCCTCCTCCTAGTGGCGTCTCAGCTCCTAATGCAGGCGCTTCGACATCTCGTTTAGAGACAACCAGTCTTGAGGCTGCAGTAGCGTCATTAGAAATCCCGGGAGCTGTGGTTCCTGGAAGAGGTGACCAAACTTCACAAGCTCAGTTAGCAGAAGGCGTGCCGTCTGGTCCCACTCAACGTGCAAGTGATGCTCAACCTGTGGCGGTGAACAGAGCCCAGTCTGAATTTGCTACCACGATTGCTGCTACTGCGGCGGCAGCAGCAGCAGCAGCTGCTTCAGAGTTGCCTTGCACTGTCAAGCTCAAAGTGTGGTCGCATGACATCAAAGAACCAGATGCTCAACTGAAGTCTGATAGATGTCTATTGTCAATACCGCATGCCGTCCTTTGCAGGCAAAACTTACTTCTTGTATTGCAAATATAGAGGAAAACCTGTTATTTATGGTTCTTGATATCATTGTGTTTAATTCTTGCAGTGAAATGGGAGCTCATTTTTCGCCATGCGGGAGATATTTAGCAGCCTGTGTGGCCTGTGTTTTTCCTCATGGTGAGATGCAGACTGTAGCACAACAAGATTCAGGGCTTGCAACTTCCCCGACTCGACACCCTGTGAGTGCACACCAAGTCATTTACGAGCTTCGTGTGTATTCTCTCGAAAAGGAAAGGTAATTGCCAGTCACTTCCGGTATCTGATTGTATCAATTCTTTCATCTTGAAATGCATATCCGAGAGATAACAGAGTTGTGTGTTTTCTGTGGATACAGTTTTGGTTCAGTGCTTGTGTCACGGGCGATTAGAGCTGCGCATTGCTTGACCTCTATCCAGGTTAGTCTGACTTTTCAGAAACATTAGATAGAATTTTTATGGATTCTGTGTTTCAGATGAGAACCATTTGGTATTGTATTTATGTATCCTCTACTTACTTTGACTGAGAAACTAACAAAATAAGGCAGTGTCCAGTTTGATCGTGTTATGTAAGCTTGAGAAACTTGTGAGATATATATACATATATATACTAGATGTAAGTTGTTGAATAATACTTTTTAACAATTGAGAATTCTCCTTGCAGTTCTCACCCACCTCTGAGCATATGCTGCTTGCATATGGCAGGCGCCATGGTTCTCTTTTGAAGAGCATCTATAGTGATGGTGAAGCAACATCACATTATTTCACAGTGTTGGAAGTAAGAAAAGCATTATGCTACATACATCCGTGTCATGGTGTGTATTTGGAGATAGATAATAATAATAATATAAAAAAATTCTTGGGTTTGTGTGTGTGTGTGTGTTGGGTCAGATATACAGAGTTTCAGATATGGAGCTTGTGAGAGTACTCCCAAGTGCAGAGGATGAAGTAAACGTTGCTTGTTTTCATCCTTCTCCTGGAGGTGGTCTTGTTTATGGGACAAAGGTAACACAAAAAAAAAAAAAAAAAAAAAAAAAAAAAAAAAAAAAATCTGATAGTTATATATACAATGGATATGAATATGAAAACTGATTGATACTCATGATTTGTCCTTAGGAGGGGAAACTGAGGATCTTCCAGTGCGATAAAGCTGTTCCCTCTAACTTCACTGGACCAAACACATATCCTGAGGAAAACTTGTCTGAGGTAGAGTTATAAAAACAACAAGGTTGTATCTTGTTGATACATAAGGATGTTACTGACTAAACTTAACATATTATGATTTGGACAGGTGCAGGCACATGCATTAGAGTGCTAGAAAGCAAGAGAAGCCGCCATTTGGGTTTTCATAAATCTTTTTCACTCTCATCTTTTCAGGTAAAGGCTGCAGAAAAAGAACTGTTCAAAATGGAAATATTTTGTTTTTGTTTTGGTTGTAACTTGTAAGTTTGTAACAAATGTGGTCACTTCCTCTTACAGATTACAAAGGAGGGAGTCTTCTTCATAAGTATAATATAATCTTGTGATGCCGAAGCGTTCAAAGTCGTTCTTCTCTCCTCTCCTCTCCTCTCTTTCTTTCTCTTCTATATTTGCAAGAATTATATTTTTAGATGTACATGAATAGGTTTTGGATCACTCACACACTTGACACTTGGCCACATTAATTATATGATCAGGTTTGATATTTGAATACAACATTCCAGAAACCAATTAGTCTAAAACAACACCGAGTAAACTGTTTACTTTTTTTTTAGTACATAGAAGACTCAAACACGTATCTTTCATATAAGATACGTGTTGTCCGCTAATATGAAGAACGCAATTTTTATTGGCTTAAGTTCCAAGTGAGGCCCTCTCTGCACTCAATGCTGGACCTCAAACTAAATGGCACCTAATTCAAGTCTCCTCTTAAGTGCTAACAGCTGACATGTCGTATTTTTGTATATGTCGTTGCTTTTGGTTTGTGTATGCTTGATTCTTTAGATTGTAAAGTCTTCCAAAGTTAATGCAAGAAATAATTATTCATTTAAGTTACTCACTGGCCAAGAAAACTGTACATTTATGTATCTTATCACTGGATGCTACTAATGGAATACGTGTATTGTATATAATACATACACGTACGCTGTTTTCAGATAGGAGATGTCAACTGAAAAGGGCCTTGATTGTTTGTAGATTCTTGATTAGATTTTGGTTTTTGTTTTTCAAAAAACCAATTTTTTTCCAATCATGATTTTGGTGAAATAGATTCCTTTTTTCCATGGAAACTAGTTTTTCAAAATAACTGGTTTTTCTCCTTCTATGAGAGATTTGTTTTTTTTTTTTTTTTTTTGCTTATATTTCAAATTTTTTACTATTTTAAAAGTCTACATCAAAATCAAAATCAAAAACCAAAAACTAAAATCAGAAATTAAAATCCAGAAACCAAAATCCAAAATCTAAAAGCTACCCAAACATTCATGGCTAAGATATCTTCTTACTGGTTATGTTAAATGCTCGATTTATTATAAATAACCACTATTTTTGAAGTAGTTGGCGTACTTATCGGAAAGAAAAATATGGGTCTTGGTGGACCAAGGATAACAACAGTACTGGGAGAAATTCATCTGTCAAAGTTTATAAATCAAATGTCAAAAAGAAAAAAACTGTAACCATTTCATATTTCATTAAGTTTTTATTAGTATTTTTACATATACATCCGCCTATAAATGAAGTGAAAGAAAGGACTTGAGAACTCATTGTGTTTATGTACATGTTATTATCTGTGACTGTGCATAAGCCAACCTCCTTCGTTTGCTCCTTTTTGTATCCAAAATCTAATGTCTTCGATTGGCTTATTTGAAGCGTCCCTAGTTTTCTTTTGCTTTCTCATATTCTATTACTTTCTCAGCAAGAAAACATCTCAAAGTTACCCTTGGAACTGGCCGGTTGTCGGAATGCTTCCGGGAGTGCTCATGAGACTGAACCGGATCTATGATGGTGTCGAGATTCTCGAGAGCCACAACATGACGTTCCAATTGAAGGGCCCGTGGTTTGCTGGAATGGATACATTAGTCACTGTTGATCCATCTAATGTCCATCATATAATGAGCAAAAACTTCTACAACTACATCAAAGGTCCTGAGTTCCAAGAAGTCTTTGAAATCTTCGGAAACGGACTACTCAACACTGACTCGGATCGATCCAACAATCTGTGGAAGTGTTATCATGCCATGCTTCATGATCAAAGGTTTATAAGGTTTTCAATCTGTGCCGTGAGGAATAAACTCAAAGACGAACTTCTGCCTCTTCTTGATCATTTCGCAAAGGAAGGGACGGTCGTAGACTTGCAAGATGTGTTCCGGAGATTCACATTCGATACAGCCGTGACAATACTAGGTGTGCCTGATCCTAAATCTCTCTCTGTCCATATGGCCAACAACAACGAGTTCTCTAAAGCCCTAGAAGATGTTGAAGTAGCGATGGTGTATAGGCATATGTCACCAAGATTCATGTGGAAGCTACAAAACCGGTTGGGACTGGGACAAGAGAAGAAGTTGACAGAAGCTGATGCCGTCTTTGGTCGTTTGTGTGGGAAATACGTATCTGATAAGAGACAAGAGTTACGAAATGAGGTCAACAATGAAGAAGTTGTGGATCTTTTAACGTTCTTCATAAAGTTCGAGCTCTTGGCTCCTATTGATGACAAACTCCTCAGAGACGTCTTTGTCGGATTCATTCTAGCGGCGAGAGACACTATTGCATCTACACTCACTTGGTTCTTCTGGCTTCTATCCAAAAACCCTCAAGTCTTGACCAAGATTCACCATGAGATCCAAGAGAATCTACCAAGATCCGGAAGTGGTCATGAGAGACCATCTTATGATGATCTGGATAAGTTGGTGTATCTAAATGGCGCATTGTGTGAAACAATGAGGCTTTACCCACCAGTTCCATTCCAACGCAGGTCAGCGGTAAATCAAGATGTTCTTCCGAGTGGGCATAAAGTTGATGCAAACTCAAAGATCATGATTTTTGCTTACGCGATGGGAATGATGAGAGCAGTTTGGGGAGACGACGCATTGGAGTTTAAGCCAGAGAGATGGATTACTGCGACCGGAGGGATAAGACATGAGCCTGCTTACAAGTTCTTTGCATTTAACGCCGGTCCAAGAACTTGTCTTGGCAGGAACATGGCTTTGACTCAGTTGAAGATGGTGGTTGTTGAGATATTACAAAAGTATGATGTTGAGGTCGTAGAGGGACAGAAGATTGAGCCATTTTCTGGTCTTATTCTTCACATGAAGCATGGGCTTAGAGTCAGATTTAATAAGAGATGTTGATCAGCTTGATATAATCAGGAGATGAATCATGGTGTTTCAAGAATGGTAAATTTATCTTCGTTTTCTTTATAAAATTTATTTCTATATTACTTGTATGTATTGCTAAATGAGTGTGTGTTTTTGATTTTATCAAATTGAATGCATCATCTTCTGTGGGGAATACCAATAATTGAGAAGTATTTCCAAACATTTTTTTGAAAAAACATCCAATCATACATAAAAAATTCAAATATTTTCTCAATTATTCACAATTTAAGTTAAAGGGAATATGTGATTTTTTTTACATGCTTATTTTAGTTTGTCAAAAAAAAGAAAACAATCTGCATTCGTAAAGCGAACACGACTAAACAAAACAAGAAAATCAATTAACAAAAAAAAAAGAATAGATGGTGAAACCCCAAAGAAAATCAGCAAGGGGTGGAAGAAACAAAACAAAAAAAAGAAAGAAAGCTATGAAGTTTTGTGGGTAGAGTTAGATGAAGAAGAAGTTGAATCGGCAATGGGAGAGGTATCATCATCTTCTTCTTCACATTGTTTCAACAATTCCTGGAACGATGGATCATAAGCCACCACTCTTGTTAATTTTTTTCTTGTCCCCTCCGGATTAGTATTTGTTAAGAAAAATGTTAACAATAGAAATTAAACAAAGATGTGGAAGACTAGTTATTGTTAGAACATCATGAACCATGACTTCGACTTACACCAATCAGCTCCTTAGGGGTCAAGTCATGGCCCGAGAGGCCGAGATCGGGCGTCCTTCCAGCCTCTTTCTGGACAGCGTCATTTCCTTGTAGCTAGGCCCAACTTAGCATTTACAATACAAAGCCAATGCACATGATATATGAAGGGTACTTGCATATTTTATGTAAAAAGGCAAGCTATAGTTGTTGACCAAGCAAGAAAATCAGATCATATTGCTCATAAGATCAGCTGGATTCAAAAGCTGCCAAGTTCCTCTTAGGCAAACTTCTGTCTACCCGAATCCCCTAAAGAGAGAGTTACTAAACTTTTGAAGTAATTTCAAAGCTTTATCAGGAACTACATTAGAAGGGGTACATGATAAAAGATTAGTTTACCTGAGGCATTTGGAATGCAAGGAAATAATGAGCAAATGTCAATAAACTCAAAAGTATCTTGTTAAAAAGAAACACTCAAAGTCTCAAACACCCATCAATTGTTAAGTACCATGCATAAAGAACACTTGATTTTTCTATTTTAGCCAGGACAGTTACTTTTCTGGAACAAAATGTGTATGTTCATATTTAGAATTGTGGTGTAGAAAGGAGGCTTGTGCTATCTACTTCAACATATATGGAAATAAATTCACTCCCATTGTCCTTACCGTTCCCTTTAGGGTATATAATCAATCTCCTGAGAGTTTTAAGAACAAGATTGCATAGGGTAAAATGACAATATTATGGCCCTAAGTCACTAAGAGTCTAAGAGCATGACTAACGCAGGACGCTTAATACGTTGCTTAGCCCAAAATGCAATAAAATTAAATGAAAAATGCAATTAAAACCAAGCTTCGACGCTTGAATAAGCTTTTTAAGCATCGCCGCTTGACGACAGGTGACAACGTGTGATTGGAAGCTGATTATTGAGAAAGAAATTAGCTTTTTCATTTCTATTTTCCCTTTTTTTCTCTTCTCTCTCTGCGAATCCTCTCCAATGGTGAATCCTCTCTTCTCCGATGGCGTATCGACGGCGAATCCTCTCATCATCGACAGCGTTTTTCTTTCCGGTGATGAGGCATTCGAAATCATCTAGTGATGAATCGAATCAGGGGAGAAATCATCTGGTGGGGCGTTGGAAATCATATGTGGCTTATGCGCTGCGTTTCTCACAGTCTCGATCGAATCTCACAAGCAAGCAAGCAAATGGTTTCTCAATTAGGAGGATGATTCAAGTAAATCAGATTGCTTACTCTAGCTGTCCCTTTTCTAGATTAATCGAGAGGGATTGATCATAGAAAAGTTTTAGTCTCTATTATTGATGAATCCATTTGCATCACATTTCTTCTTAGCAAATCAAAGATTATCCTCCAGATTGAGTGAAGCGATAAAGTTTAGCACTTTCATGAAAATTCTTGGTCGATTTCACTCTCACATTTCTCGATCGCTTGAAAAATTGTTTTTTTTGTTTCTTCAATTCACCATCATTGTATCATACCTTCATTCAGTTGATCTCCTCTGCTTTTAGTTAACTCAAAATGTATAACTTTAATGTTTCTTAACTAAGTTTCACTGATTATATTAGTTTCATTGATTAGATTAACACAACTGCTGTTGTGTGATATTATGTTTATCTTTTTTGCAAACACTACGGAAGCTATGGCTGGAAAAGCAGCTGCATAAGTCGCGGCAAAGACAGTGACAACGGCGTTTCAGCATCCGTGGAGGGCGAAGCTCGACAAATACAGAACGGAGCTAACGAAAGGAGTGTATGGTTACTGGGAGATGGGGTTGTGGAATTCAGCCATTCTCAGGTAAAAAATGAATCCTCCCTCCACTAATAGATTAATCAAAACACATCTCTTGTTTCTCTAACCAAGGATTGTGTTTTTTTACTTGAAAAATGCAGTGGTAGATAATAAGTTTGTCAAGGAACCAGTGAAAATGCAGATGCATATTGAAAATGCTAACAGATGCAGAAGTAATAGCACATGTTTTTCAGTAGACCGAGCAAAGGAGATTTTGTAGAGACAACAAACTTGTGCAAAGAGTTGTTTCTTTGATATAGAAGTAATATAGATTTACACATAACTTTTTTGTAGAAACAACAAACTTGTGTAAATAATTTTTTTTAAGCACCCATATAAGCACTCTCCATTGGAGCATAGAAAACAGAGAATTTTTAATAGTGTTGCTTAACCCAGTTTTAATATTAAAAATCTTTTAAGCACTTTTATAAGCACCCTCCATTAAACATGCTCTTAACGGGTAGCCCAAATTTAATTCGAAACTAAATAAAAAACGAGAATTCGCGTGACAAGCGTCGCAGCTTATTGCCACGTGGCACGTTTTCATTGGAAGATTGATAATGAGAGATTTTTTTTTTCTCTTCGTTCTTTTACTTTCCTTTTTCTCTCTTCTCTCTCTCTCTTTCTTGTCTCCGATGACGATTCCTGCCGATTCACCTCTTGGATCGATTCCTGCCGATTATTAGAGGGATTTCGAATTTGGAAGTTCTTTTGTGTTTCTCAAAGATTGTTCTTTTGTGTTGTTTAGATGATTTTGTTCTCACATACGATGAACACTTATTGTTAGTTCGAATTTGGAAGTTCTTACAATTGTAAGTTATATCATCAGGTGACTAAGGTTGGTTAAGCAAATAAAGGCTATGACATGTTTGTGTCTTATGATGCTGATTACTGATCTTAGTGCTCTTTAATTAGGTTGATAATCTCATGACTGTTTTCAGATAATTTGGACGTTTTTTAGGGCGTGAAGACTTAAAGGCTGATCTTGGTAGCATTGGAAAGATATCCTTCTCATCTTTCCAGAACATCCAAGATCACGATAATCAGAGGTATATTTTTAGAGATATGTCCATTTGGTTTTGAGAAGTCAAATATGTCAAAACTTGAAGCTTTCATATTTTGTTTTTCCAGTTTCTACTCAAGTTTTGTGAAGATATTTCCTAACGATCAGTAAGGAAGCAGTAGTCAATCTACGTACGGTTTTGAATATCTGGAATCCAGCTCTCCAAATCTTCTCTCCGTTCTCAAATCCAAGGTATAGTCCATCAGAAAACCAGTTTGAAAGATGACGAAAAATCTCTGTTTTCTGTTTCCCGAGAATTGCAGCTTTTTGTTTTTGATTGCAGTTTTAGATACCGGTAAGAAGATTCTATAAGAACATCTGCTTCTTGTAGCTGATTGTCTCTCTGTTACTGGAGAGTTTGTAGCAATAAACGCCAAAGGTTGGAGCAAACAAAGACAGGTCGAGTCCACTCCTGCACCATTTACTCAAGCATGCTTCTCGCCTTCTCGGTATGTTGGACTAAATCCTCTGCTTTTAGCAAGCTTAGTTAGGATTTGATTTGACTCTTAATCTCTACAGAGCCCAAGCCAGGCTTTGGTAAACTCGGAGAAGCAAACAAATCAAGACATAACTCATACAAGTCACTCCTCTTTGTTTTTTACAAGTCACAAATTCTTGGAAACTTGTTGGCTCTCATGTGACATTGTGTCGATGGATTTGTATCTTATTTGACATTGTCTCGTTGTAAATGCAAAGTTTGTCTCTCCCCACTATATATTCAATGGTTAACTACACTTATTTACTCACATTTTAGTCTCTCCTCTCTCTTCTTCCGTAACAATTTCAATGATACAGAAGTTTTAGAACAAGTCTCTCCTATTTATCTGTCCTCATTTAGCCATTTTTGTTGCAAACACAATATTTTGACAGAATATTTCTTTCTGTTTATAATTTTAAAATATATTTGGAAATAGTCAAGAAATTCCTTTATGTACAGATAGATTGTTGGAGATACTTATCATGTCGACTAAGTTTGTAATTCTGTTTATTTTCTTGAATTTTATGTTTAAAATGTTTTGTATGTCAAGTATGTTTCAAATTTCAATCTATGTAATATATTTTATGTTTTGTTCATTAATAAAAAAAAATTAAAAAAAATTCTTAAACATCAGCTTGCTTTTTTTTTCCGACCTTCAATGCCTTCGATTAGAACTTTCGGGGAATCAAAAGTGTGACGTAGGTCAAATGTTGCTTAACATCCTACGAACCTTCCTTCCATCCTTCCAATTCTGTTCCATTTGGATCTCTTTCTTATAAACCAAAATAAGATACTCCCATTAAAGCTGACTAAAATAGAGAATTCTTAACTAAGGTGCTAACACACTTTTAATAATTAAAAATGTTTTAAGCACCACCATAAGAGCAAGCGCACATGTTCTCATCGATGCTTTAGCCCAAAATTAAATAACAATTGCAAAACAATATACATGTGGCATGCCCAACTTAAACAATCGT